AACTATCTTGCTAAAAGGCTAGAAAATGGTAGACATCAGGGAATTTATCTTCCAACAACCATGTCTCTCAGAAACAAAATGTTAAAGTCAAAGCTGAAGGGGGAGTTCATCTTCTTGTCATTTGCTATTTAATTTCATCATTTTCCAGGGTAAGAGTTTTGGTCACCGAGGAAGGTGATTCAAAACATTCTAAGGATCTGAACAAACAAGCAACTCCATATTTTAGAGCTTGAATTTAGAGGACACTTGAGGAAGGTTGCATTCCTTAAGACCTTGCATGATTCAATCCTTGCATAATTCAAAACAAATTTTCTCAAAGAAGAAATGTAATATAAAATACATTTTAATGTGCATGGATAAAGTAAAATTGGAGGTAAACATTCATGAAGCACAAGGATCAACAAACGCTGTGGGATATTTTTGCTTTAATTCTTTTAAATAATTTTTTCTTAACATTGTCTTTAGCATTTTGTAGAAATTAAAAGTATAGCTCAACATGGTAATTGCCTAGCTTCCTTGACATTTTATCACATTTCAAACATATACAGGGATGAGCAAAAGCAGGTTTACAGTTGTGAATACATGAAACATTGTATTATTTTCCATAAACCTCCTTTTGCTTACCCCTGTATATTTGAGGGTATGGTTTTTAACATAGCAATGAATTAGCTATGCCTGTGGTAACAAAATTGATGTAGTAAAAAAAAGGCAGATAGCTTAATGAATACTTCTTTGATATTATTATTATTATTTATAGGGTGTCCTCCCAAAATGTATACACACTGAATGACTATAAAGCCAGTGTTGATTAACATACAGTTCATTTTCAAAATTTAAAGGAATCTACAGAAATGAATAATTATATTTGTTAATGCCTATTTTCAAACTGATGACCATTCTAGTCCAGGCACTGCTAATAACCTGAAGCAATGGAATTGCAAATATCAAGAATCATTTCATTCGGCATTTGTGCACCCTCAATTTGTCAGCTGTTGCTGGTTTTGTACCGTAAATGTTATCTTTTATGTTTTGCCATAAAAAAAGTCTAGTGGCACTTTAGGATAAATTTTCTTTGCTCAAAGCTTAGATTGGCTTCACCCATTATTTCAAATCAGTTAAACCTAAAGGGAGTGAAAATTAAGTGAGCTATCAGATGTTAAAGTATGTATACATTTTTTAGGATATCCTATATTTTTGAAAACTAATGAAAATAGGAAATGTTAAAATGACCAAATAATGTATGAAATTACAAGAGAAGTTCTAATATAAACAACAACATTGGTTCATTTGACATGACACAGTATGGTAGGCATTTCTGTTTACCAGCTAAAATGGCATTCTTATGGCAGAATTATAGTTTATAATTCATTCAGCCAGCTAGATGGGAAACTATAAGATTGCTGACTAGTTCTTTTAGGGAGGGAATCTGTTCTTTTTCAAAGTATTCAGATAAAGTGAGACTTTATTAATAGTTTATATTATGTAACTTGAAGTTTATGTAATTTATAGTCACACTTACGCACATCCACACTGTATATGAATCCCTGGAGCTGATAGAGTAACGCCACTGTAATCAAACAAGCTTTTCTTTATAAGGTCTCATTAGGCCCTGCCAATATCATATCATGGAGAAAGAAAATAAAAGCTTTCACTTATACGGAGGAATGGATGGTCTTGAAGATAATAGAAAACTCTAATCCAAGAAACTTTTCTTCTGGGGCTTTCTTACTTTTGTTTAGGGAATTCTAATCTGGACTATGTCCCACTGGGTTTCTTGAAAATAATTCCTAGGTGTGATCCTGGCAACTTCCTTAAGTCCCATCTTTAGGGACCAGGAGATGATAAGGGCAACATGCTTTGTGGACCTTTTCGTGCAGCTCTGGGGATCAAAGGCACATGTCCTCCCTTATTTTAGATGGATTCCATTACAGGCCCTTTTTCATCTGTAATTCATAGGAAAAAAAGGTTGACAATGCAGACTGTGTAAAATGAAATAAAAGAGAAACAAAAGAATATAAAACAGCATATCATAATGGAAATTAAAGTAATAAAAATAAAACATCAACTGGCAATAGTATAAACACTCAAGAAGACAACAAAAGGCAATCCTACTACCAAAAATTAAGCAAAGTTCTTTGTTTAATTAGAAAGTTTAAAGATGCCTGGCTGAAGTGGTTCAGTGGTTAAGCATCAACCATGAACCAGGAGATCAAGGTTTGATTCCCTGTCAGGACACATGCCTGGGTTGTGGGTTCGATCCCCAGTATGGGACGTGCATAGGAAACTGATCAATGATTCCCTCTCTGTCCCTCTCTGAAATCAATAAAAATATATTTTAAAAAAGAAAGAAAAAAGTTTAAAAATAATTCAGCAATGACCTGTGGCTCTCAGGTAGCACAATGGGTTTCATTGTGAAATTCACTGGTCAGAGAGTAAGGGACAGCATCCGCTCAGGTATACACAGTGTAGGTA